GTGCAATCTGCACATCTCAAAAACAAAAATGTGGAAAGTGGTATAGTCGGAAAAATTTAATTTGAAGCCTCTGATATGTAATGTGTGAACTGTAATAAATACAACAGTTGCGGTATTCGCAATTACCATTACCGAACATACCGGTACTTACTACACGCATCGTTAAGGCCGGTATGCGTTATACGGGGTGTTCTATATTCAACCAGGAATCTCAAAAGCGCGATTTCGCCGAATATCAATAGCTTCATTAATGGGACAAAACTTGCGCGCCCACGTTCATGTGTAAAATTTATTTGATACAAACGATACACATTGAAGATGGTTTTCATAATATATATAAAGAACTCAATCAGGGACATGTATCTTCTTATTGAAGAACATTCAACTTCCCGTGCGCATTCGTGGAAGGTAGTAGTTCTCATAGTAAAACAAAAACTGTTACTACTGCAATTTTCAGTTTCACTCGTATCAATAGAATAGTTTCGATAAAATGGAATTATTTGGATTATATTTTAATCCAAAAGTTGGTTCATTGTCAAAGATTTCTGCAATATACCCTGGCATATAAACTATATATTGAATGCAGACTGCAGTAATTTCGGGTATGGTCGTTCGTTGTCCAAATCGTAAGGGCATAGATGAGAATGCTGCGGATATTGGGCCGTTGGTTATCAGAGACTATTATCAGGACTGCAGAAAGGGAGTCAAGTAGGACTGTGGGGTTCAAGAAAATTTAGTATTTAGCTTGTATCAAAAAATGTTTTATATTATGAATAGCTGTGGTGTCTGTCTGGACATAAATAACTCCATCTAGCATTCATTTTATTTTAATGAAACAATGCTTAATATAATGTTAATGATAATTGGTACAGTAAGTGTGAATTGTTATATATCTTATTTATTGTAAGTTATGTTTTCAAAAATTTGACTGTTGTTGCAAAATTCCATCTTTGCATTATTTTATTTTACTTTGCTTACTCTTTGTCTAATGGTAACTTATGCAATAAGACTATATGACTATATGGCTTATTATAATGTTTTATTTATTATAATCTACATTTTGGTAAAATCTAATTTATGAATGACTTTGAGTTACTTCGTTATTTATGGTAACTGATACAATGAGTGGAACTTATTTTGTTTATTGTAATTTACATTTTATTTGTTAATGACATCATTCCGTTAGTGAATCGTTAATATTTTTACAGACCGGATGATAGTTTAATGTTGTTTATGGTAATTTATACAATAAGCGTGACTTATCCATTTCGAACAGTTACTTCAGTAATTGATACTTATATAAATAGCACAGTTCAAGAAAACAAGATTTGTAAAACAATGAGATTACGTGTGAGTGGCATGATAATTAATGGGCCGTTTTTAACTGCACGTCCACTTTATGTTTTTGGCTGATGGAACAGAAGACGATGTAAATTACGTGTTAACGTAGCTTCGCTGTTTCATAAAAGGGATACCATCCCTGTTTTCTAAGGTCTCTGCTAAAACCAGGCACTGTACAATGCAACATGGCGTATTTTTCGTTTAATGTAAATTGTTCTCGGGGTGTTATTCTTTATCACAGAATTACTGCCAGTATCTTAGTTGTGTTCTACTATATCCTGGCTTATTAAAACATGTGGTAAATTGTAGTTGTGAATGCAATAACAGACAGAGAACTACTTATTCAATGATGTCATCACAGCTTTCCCGCTACATTACATATACAACTGGAAAATATTTTAGTTTAGTTATGCGCAAGATTTAAACAACAGCAAAATAGCTTGATTTTCGTGCATTTTACTACCATGGTTACGAGTTAGTCATCATTAAATTTGTGCACGGCAGCCAGGATTTCTGTTTGAAATTTTAATCACATCAGAGTGAGAATTCCATAGAATGGAACACATGGTAACACTTGTGTGGGATATTATATGTGAACTTGATTTTTTCGGCCATTAAGCAGTTATTAGAATGAAACAAAACATGATGGATACTTGGTGTACATTAAGTAGACTAAATGAATACAATTAGTTGATATATGTCAGCTCTCATTTAAATATTCATCCACACAAACAGCAATCATTTGTACATTTCCATAACCTACAATCTAATTAACATCCAATATATATGTATAGACTCCATTTTTTCATATTTTATTTATTTCCTTTTTCCAGTTATGACCAGTTTTATGGGTTTACTTGCCATTATTGCCGTTATATGTATCCGACGATTCATTTCATTTAGCTATCGGATTGACGCCGTTTGGAAAATTTGGAAATAGCCATTTCTCCTGCTCACACCAAAAACCAAAAACGATAATTATGTTGAGGAATGTTTTACATAAAAAAATATTTAAATTGACCTTAACTTTGGGAGTTATGCTAATTTTGAAATTATTTCAATCATGAAATCATGAGGCTGGTTACGAACCACACCGAGGTTACGACTCTGTTAGCCTCGCTCGTAACCAGTCTTGTGATTGGCTTTTTACAAATTCTGAACAGGCCACGCCTCGAACTATGCCGTGCGTTCGGGCAAACCGTTAATTATTCCTAAATTGAGTCAATTTGTGTAGTTTTCTTGATTTATTCTGCAGATATCGGTAAAATATAGGTAAGGCTTTGGCGAAATTTGAAAGAGCAACTAATAATCTTCAACCTGGTATTTTTTATAGATTTTATTTTTCAATCTTTTTGGCTGTTTTTCCGGGTTAAAAAAATGTGAGCTGGCTGGAGCCTTCATCCCTTGTCTATTTCTTACACTAGATACCAGCCAATAACCCCCCCCCCCCAGCGCTCATAGGGACTACGTACAGTTTATCATAGTTCCTGGGCTCCCTGTGGCCCAACTTTGAGAAATCACGCCAAAAACATACATCTGTGTAGTTATTGAATGTCCACATTTAGTAACTCGAACTTTAATTAACACGTGATCAAACTAGACTGTTTGCTTTGTTATACGTTTGGGCGTGTTATCGCAAAAGTGGGCATGGCTTTGTCATGATT